GCCCAGCTGCTCTCCTGTGCTGCTCAGCCGGTTTTCTGTCTGTGTGAGAGAATTACACTGGCGATCTCAGGGGAAGAGTTTGCAGCTGAGGTCTGCATCCCAAGGGTGCCTAAAACATTCATTCAAAAGCTGTTATCTTCAGCTGCAGCAGCCTTGTTCTGACAGAATTAGCAAGAGAGTGCTGGGGTCCATGTGTCCTCTAAGGAAACAGACATGACTTAAGAAAGAGGTGCATACAACTTATTTCTCCCTGCCTGATTTATATGTTGCATTTGAGTTGGCAGAAGACTGGGGAATACAAGTGGAACACATATTGGAGTCTAGGAATGTTTTTTGGTATAGCTTTGCAGAGGTTATTTGCTAACATTCAGAAACTGAATTTTAAAAAAATTTCCAACTCCCTACTTCTACTGTTTACTCATCATTTTCCCCCTCTATTACCATATGAGATCTGTATAAACTGTGCACAGGGAGAGTTAACAGAGTGATGGGGTCACTGGAGGTCTTCTCTCAGAAGGTGGTTCTTGTGGGGTTTCCTGGCAGCTCTTTAGAGGGAGCTGTGAATGCCTTAGTTTGGCTTCTCCCAGTCTCTCTGCTCCTGGCTTGCTGTAACTACCTGCTTGCTTATAACGAGCTCCTGCTGCTATCTCCGCTGTTCTCCATGAGATCTGCATTGGAGCTGACCCAGTGCAGGTGCATAAAAAGCCTAAAACTGTGACCCAAACAAATCTTTTGTCTTTATTCAGATAGCTAGTGAGAAATTCTCCTGAGAGAAAAAAAAATAAAGACACAACAACCCCAGACTTGTGAGATGCAGTGCAAACAATGACATGAATGTATAGAAGTAAGGCTTACAATTTTTTTAGAAAGGTAGAATGCAGAGTACACCCAGCACAATGGATCTATAATAGAGGACTTGTGTCCTTGTACAGCTGTCAAAATTCAGCATCTAGTCTAAATAGGTTCAGAAGAAATGTGAGCTTTGTGTAAATACATGCCTGAGTAAACCTTGATGCTTTGTGGAAAAGAGATTAAAATCTGGTCATGATTTAGTGTTTATTTATAATTTCTGGTTTTACCCATTTGAATGTGCATCTGGTAATATGTATATTCTTCAGAACAGTGTCAGTCAGTGCTCACTGGAGAAACAGACTTCATATAAGATAAATAAATATATAAGGATTTACATGGCAGGTGGGAAAGAGTCTAAAAGGGCTGTCTGCTTGCTGGAGGATGACTGATAAGGATGGGTGGAAATGACACTGTTTTACTTAAAGACTACGAGATTTTGTGGCTATATGCCTTCCGCTTTGCATATCCCTTTTGCAGGAACTGCTTAACTCTCAAAGTGACAGCGCAAAGCTATCCCTTCTGGAGAGGGAGACATTAATCTGAATAAGGCCACGATGGTTTCTTAAGGTCGATTGTACTGCCCTCCGCCACTCTGTGCTGAGGCGAGAGTAGCTCTAAAGTCAGTGCTGTGGTTTGGAAAAGTGCCCACCACAGGATCATGTGCTTGTTTTGGTTTCCAACCTATAGTTCTGCTAGAAAGGGGTGGACACTTTAAGAGGGATGATGGACCCGACCTCTGCTCTTCCTTTGCACTTCCTAGTCCCCATGAGGTGATGTGCTATTCTGTCACTCGTTCACACTCTGCCTTACCAGAGGTCTCCAGACAGCAGGCCAACCAATCACAGACTGAAATCTCTGAAAGCACAAGCCAAAACAAACTCTTCCTCTTTTAATTTGATTCTTGCTTTTGGTTTGATTCTCTCACGTACTTGCTATAGTTATCAAGGTTAACGAGCACACTCGGAAACTGTTTCTTTCATAGGAATTAAAATTCAAGAACCAAACCATTCTGCAATAACAATATATTCCTCTTTCATTAGTCTTTGCATACAATATTTGATGAAAGCTCTTTAAAAACCATATCTAATAATAGAATATTCATATATTCAGGAATCTGCTTGCCTTCGGTCATGTAGTTTTTCTTATCGTTTTGCACGCATAGCAGGAATTAGCCAACCTAGTGTCCAGGCTTTGTAGGTGTATCTCAGCTGTGGGGCTAGTGACATGGAAACAATAGCAGTGAATACAGAACTGGGGTACAGTGGGTGGACCTTCTAATGTCCTCATTCACAGCATATCCATTCTGATTCTGGAAATTGTATATTGGTTTAGGGATATGGACATGAGATTCTAAACTCTCTCATTATATTTGCAGTTGGAAGATGTCCATAACCCAGGTGTATGGGCAGTGAGATACCAAAGAAAATACTGAAAGATAGCTTGACAGAGATACATTTTATTAAAAATATTAACAGACAAATATAGGATTAACCAATAATTACTAGAGAAAAGAGAATTTGTTGACTGTAAGGCGACAGGACATTTGCCAGAAGGCCCAGTGGCTGGGAGCAGACCAGCATATCACCAGAGGGTCTGGGGCTGGGCCAGATGGGGAAATCATTAGAGATAAGACAAAGTGTCTACAGAGTTCTGATCAGCCTGCAGTGTTCAGTGGCATCTGCTGGACTACAGCACTCCTCAGAGCTGTGTTCCTTTTTTTTTTTTTTTTTTTGTTTTTTTTCCGGTACCAGGAACCGAACTCACGACCTTGCGCTTGCCAGGCAGGCGCTTTTGCCGCTGAGCTAAATCCCCAGCCCCTAGAGCTGTGTTCCTTGTGCAGGCATTGCAGGAAGGGGCTTTTAAAATTGTACAGCACTGATATCATTCGCTTGCTTAGTGTTATTGTATGACCAGAATTCCAAAGAAAAGCTGATTTAGCATAGAGGAGGAAGGCAGAGCTATGATAACATTAGTTGGTGTGGTTCCCTTTGTCGCTCAATTTGTTTCTCATTCTTCTCTCTTTACACAGGAAAGTCCTTGGACCTGGCAGTATCTTGGACAGCAAATGGGATATTTCATGGTTAGAGTGAAAATGTCCTAGTTTTTGTCAGGCATAGTACAAAAGGGATCCAAGAAATAATTCAATTTAACTTCTTTGAGGCAAACTACCCAAGGCTTAGATAGTTCTTGCTATGCATGATTTGGTAAAGAAATAATATATTGGTGGAACTGACAAAATCTTCAGAATTATTTTTTTCATTTTAATTCCCACAAAATCGAAATTCCCTTCTGACATTTTTTCCTTTATAACTGTTTTGTTTTTTGTTTTTGGTTTTTCTCCGGTACTGGGAACCGAACTCACGACCTTGCGCTTGCCAGGCAGGCACTTTGCCACTGAGCTAAATCCCCAGCCCCTTTCCTTTATAACTGAAGAGATCCTGCAGTTAACTTTCTTTTCCTTAACTGGACTAAATAAAATGAGTTTTATTTAAATGCAAAGGAAAACAAATTCCAAGCAAAACTCAAATTACTTATGCACTACATAGGAACTTCTACCTAGTATTTTTTACTTAATGTATAATGTTCGTATTCTCTCTTATATTTGAAGGGGGAGAAGGAAAACCCCTGGCGGGGAGAATATGTCCCTTTTATCCTGGAAAGGAGGGCTCCCAACTGTCCAAGGCCAGCTCTGCTGTGGCAATGTACACTCGAGCGCCCTCTGCAGGCCATCTGAGTGTTCATCACTGCTTGCACTCCTTCCTGCTTTGGAGGTTGGTGGATGGACTTCTTTCAAGTGGTGTCCCAGGGCCTCCAGTGCTGGAACTGAAGCTGATCCTTGAGTGACCCCCTAGGAGGGCTGGGTCTTGAGGTTTCTCTTCAGGAAGAGTCTACCCCATCCACTTGGTCAAGGCACCGCGTGGTGAATGTTCTCCACTTTGGATAGGTAGAGAGAAATGACCGTCCTGTCTGCAGGGACATCCGGTGGATGCTGCTTTGGCTTTGGTACCGAGCGGATGGACAGACTCACCAGATTCACTCTGAAGCAAGTTCAAATATTAGTACAATCTCCATGTTTTTATCTGTGTTCCATGTTGATATCTTCCTGTCCAGTGCCTGTTAATGTATATTGATTCACTGTAAAAACCATTTCCTGAGGGAGGTAAAGATCACTCTTCATAGAAACAGTGCTCTTGTCTCTTTTAGAGAACTACTTCTTTCCATTTTTGACAAATAAGCTGAAATTTATGAGGTGTGATAAAAATGGGTGAGTATTTAAGTTGAAGGAAAATGTTTTACAATTAAAGACCCATTGCCCTTAATCCTCCTCAAAATACTCCCCCTTGCTATGAGCACTCTTTCTACTTTCTGAAGCAGTTTTGAGTGTTATTTCTCATAAGGCATCCTAGTTGTACTGTTGTAGCTTCCTCAATGTCTTGAATAATTTCAAAATATTTACTTTTTGTGATTATTTTCAATTGGGGGAAGAGCGAGAAATCATACAGTGCTAGTTTTTATGAATTTGGTGGGTGAAAACACATCATAATATTTTTCTGAGCCTGCTTTTCACTGGGTTGCACTCTGAAGCATCATTCACCACATTTTTAAATCGTATATGGTAACTACACACAAGAAGACTTCTAGAACTGCTTCAAAACGGCAAGAATAATACACAAAGCGTGTTTGATGTAGGATTGAGTATTCTGAAAGGGATTCATGGCAATGTGTTTTTTATTGTAATAATTAAATTTAAACACACTGTAATTTTCCTTCACCCTTTGTGTTATTATTTGAGATGATATAAAATATTAATTTTAGGGACTAAAATTTTTTGAGGTAATCTATAGCTGTAAGGCATGGAAGCTACAGTGATTATCTCACTTGGCACCTCTGATGAACTAGGATACTAGGTTTCACTTGAACAGGTCACGGAGTGCCTTGGGTTATGCATGAGCTACATTTTAATATTTTTTTGCTAACCTTAACTCCTTCTGGGAAACAAGAACATGTGTTCCCTTTGAGTGCATGCAAAGCTTCTCTGAGCTGATTTGCATATTACATTATTAGATAGTGGTCCAGCCTGTGCAAAGCGTCTATACAGGCAGCTTTCAAGGGCCTGTGAGGTGTGGTCTGTTGGTCAGTCCTCAGAGATGGGGTCAAAGGCTCCCCTGCTATGGATGCTGCTGCTTTTGGTTACAGGTAAGGGATGTAGGAAAGTGTTGGATACACTAAATGTGGTCATCATTTCTTTCTGATTCTCTGAGTTCTTGGTCATTAGAACGAAGGCATTTTCCCTAAGTTTCAATTTCCCAAACTACCATTTGTTTTTGGTTAATCTGTACATGTATTCACCAGCATCACTGCCACATTGGGATGGCCTCAGTGATGGTTGCTTGTGCGTGTTTATCATTCCAGGCTCCACTGGGGACGTTGGGCTGACTCAGTCTCCAGCCTCCTTGACTGTGTCTCCAGGGGAGAAGACCAGCATCTTCGGCAGCACCAGCCAGCGTGTTAATAAATTTGGTATAGAGCTTATGCACTGGTATCAACATAAGCCTGGACAGCCTCCCAAACTGCTGATCTATAGAGCATACAATCGAGAGTCTGGGGTGCCAGACCGGTTCAGTGGCAGTGAGTGTGGGACACACTTCACCCTCACCATCCACCCTGTGGAGGCCAAGGATGCTTTGAACTGTTACTGTCAGCAGGGGAGAGAGCTTCCTTCCACAGTGCTCTAGCTCTGAACAAAAACCTCCCCAGACAGCTGCTCACTGAGGCTTAACCTCACAGATGCTTTGTCCTACCCAGGCAGCTCTACTTTGTGTTTCTAGGGTTGTCTGGGTAAAGGGGTCGAACAAGAAATGGGAAATCCTTTTTTTTTTTTTTTAAAGAAAATGATTCTTATGGTATATTTAATGATCACATGCATCATAGGGAATTTGTTCCTGTACATGGTATAACTTGATTCTCTTTTTTTCCCATTCCTGTATGCTCCCTCCAACCTCTTCACCTCCTTATTTAAGAAAGCTTAGTTCTTATTTTTCCTTCTTTTCTCATTTTTTTCCTTTTCCTTTTCATGCTCTACCATCCATATCCCCTTCCTATTTGAACATTTTCTTATTTCACGACATTTATTATACATTTAGGTCCTTATTTACACTTTTGATTTCTCACACCAAACAATGCAGTATTTGCATATATGTGCCTGATTTTTTTCACTTAAGGTCTCAATGTGCATCCATTTATCTAGATATTTCTCAAACAAATCATTCTTTATGGCAGAGTAGTACTCAGTTGTGTAAAACACACATCTGTATCCATTCACCAATTGATGGGCATTTGGGCTGCTTCCAGGATTTGGCTATTACAAAGTGTGCCTCTATAAACATGGGTGTGCACATATCACTGTGATATGATGCTTTTAATTCTTTTGGGAAGATACCAACAAGGGGAATAGTTGGATTGAATGGAATCTTTAGTCCTAGCTTTTTGAGGAATACCCACACTGATTTCCACAGTGCTGGTACCAGTCTACACTCCCACCAGCAATGGAGAAGTGTTCCTTCTTCCCCACAGCCCCCTCCAGCATTTGTTATTGGTTGATTTCTTGATGATAGTCATTCTTTCTGTGGTGAGATGGAATCTCAGTGTTGTTTTAATTTGCATTTCTTGAATGACCAATGATGTTGACCATTTTTTCATATATTTGCTTGCCATTTCTATTTCTCCATCTGAGAAGTATCGATTCATTTCAGATTCCCATTTTGGGGTTGGGTCTTTACATTTGGTAGGTCTGATTTTTTTTGAGTTTTTATGTATTCTAGATAGTAAACCTTTGTTTGATGAATGGCTGGCAAAATTTTTTTTCTCACACAGTGTGTTGTCTCCTCACTTTGTTAGTGGTTTCTCTTGCTGTGCAAAAGCTTTTTAATAAGAGGAGATCCCCATTGTTGATTCTTTGTGATCAGGGTTTTGTTCATAAAATCTTTGCTTACACCTATGTCTTCACGTGTTCTACCTATTCTATCTTTCAACAGATTTACTGTTTCTGTTTTAATATTTAGATCTTTGATCCATTTCAATTTTAGTTTAGTGCATGGTAAAAGACATGGGTTTAATTTTAATCTTTGGAGTGTGGAAAGCCAGGTTTTCCAGCACCATGAAATAGGAAATTCTTAACCTGATATTACACTATGTGTTTTATAATTTTATGATTTCTTACTTCAGACCTCACAATATTTTTTGCAAAGCTTTTATTTTAATGAGGGGAAAAATAATAAATGAAGAAAGAATTTCTGATGCTTTTCCTACCCTTCTTCTTTCAAGACTTTTCTCTGAAACAGTGGACCATGGACATCCATGTCCACTCCATGTTTCCTTGTCCTCAACCCTTCAGTATGGACAGAATCACAGAGAGAAAGAACTTTCAGTGTAATTGAACATGCATGTTCCCTATAAAAATTAAGTCAAACGCAGTTGTATTAATGCCCAGATATCCCTCTGTTCATCTTCTGAGGAAGGACATTGGCTTTTTAACCTACCATGTTTCTGCGAGTTGAAATCACCCAACACAAAGATCACTGACAAGAAGCAGTGCTCTGTCAGCATATGGAAAAACAAACTAGATCCACATTTAGTAGAGCATCTCTGTGTTTGGTACCAGGAATCAAGCTCAGGACCTTGTCCTTGCCAGGCAGGGGCTGTGCCACTGAGTTATATCCTCAGCCTAGTAGAGCATCTTTTATTATGTTTAATTTTTTTTAGTGATGATCATTTCCTTCTACTTTTCTCCATTGTCCCCTTAATTATGATATTTTCTGGGCACAAAAGAAAATTAATCATTTTTATTATGTCTCTGAAATCTGTTATGGCTATGCGTTTAAACTCTCATCTTTTCCTTCTGAATTCCTTAATTCAGGGCTCAGGTTAAATGTGGTGTGGTCAGGAACCTCACTGCCTGTCTATGTTAAGAAAATCTTAAATTGTAAAAGATCTCTTCCCTTTAATTCATCTGAAAATACTCTGCTTTTCCTTGAAGACACTTATCTCTTTATTCTTGTCATTTTCTGAAGAAGTTCTAGAAGTCCTCTTTCAGTTCTTTAGTTGTGCTGATGTGGCTGGGTGGCTGTCCTGAATTGATTCAAAATGTTTACCTTTCATCCTCATTTTGACTTAAAGAAGAGCCAGAAATAGCACAAGGCCAGTACAAGTGAAGCAGGTGGATTCACACTATATGTTTTTATTTGACAGAAATTGCTGTATCAGAAGCACTGTGTGATACAAAATGTTGTGATGGTGGAAGGTGAAACCATTAGCCCACTTTTGGGGTCATTTTCCAAAGACTTCACTTAACTGCTCTAATAAGCCTTTATGATATTCAGAGTTTACTGTAGTGTGCCTAGATATAAAGTCAGCTGGTACAATTCCATCAAGGTAAAAATATAGTCCATATCTTCTTGATGTTGGGTTTTACTTGACACACTTTTATCGTATGAGAACTGGATGAATTACATTGGGAACTCTAAATCTTGGTTCCAGAGTTTTTAAGTGCAGACAAAAGATTCATCTTCCTTGTTGATACTTCTTAAAAATCTGGAATCTGAAGTGGCCTGATCACATAACTCCAGCGAAATTGACAAATGTTCTTTTTGTTTGCCAAAGTACAGGGAACAAATTCTCCACTCATTCAACTTATGTTCAAATTCTCCTTTAAAGTGCTTTGAATGGAGAAATTAGAAATGTTCAGATCCACAGAAATTTCCTTAGTAACCGATTGTCTGTGTGACTGAATAATTTTGCTTGTTCTCTCAACATTCTCTTGGGTTTTTACATCAAAGGATGTCCCAATATCTCCAAGTTTTGATCAATTCACAACCATTACAAAGTCACCGGAACCACTAGTAAATTATTATTACTAAGGTTTCACTTCATATGAAAGATCCCTGTCTTTCTGTTGGATGGTACTTAGTGGGAGCATTCACTACATTTTTTAAAATCACATCTCAGAGATGGGTGTGGGAACATTTGAATTCTCTCATCGAAAACAACTCTCCTCCCACTTACAAATTTCTCAATTAATTTGGCAGAATACTTGGTTTTGGGGATATGTATTATATGCCAATTCTAGAGATGAAATGGATGATAGAGATTTCGTCTTTGAGAGAGACCATCTCCTTGGATTCAGTGATCTGTGATTATCTGGAAGGTTGTCTATTATGTGAACAAACTCAGGAAGTTGTAATATCAGAATGCCCTGCGGCAATTTTAATAAAATAATATGCATACAACACCCCGGAGGTATTGGCATACGTTCTAAAGTTTTCTTTAACTAAGACAATGCAAACAGAGTGGAAAGATAGGAAAAACAGGATTTTTAGTGCTTCATAAAAGTGACTTGATTGAGCCTTTTTTATGGTTTGGATTTAATATGTCTCCCCAAAGAATGACAGTGTTGAATGCTTGTCTCCAGTACAGCAGTGTTTAGAGGTGGGGCTTTTGAGAAATGATCAGATTGTCAAGGTTTGAACCTGATCAGTGGAGAAATTCATTAATGAGATCTTCCCTGAGTGACAGGAGGAGGGTCTACGTGTGGAGTGTGTGGTATGGCTTTGGTGACTATATGTTTTCCTGGACCTTCTATTTTTTTCTGTTCACTTCCTGTTCTCCTTCCAGCCCCCATAAGGTGGTCTTCTTTGTTCTACCATCCCTTTATGCCAGGATGTGTGTGTTTCGATATAGGACCAGAAACAAGAACCTGACCCATACACTTGAAAATGTGAACCAAAATAAAACTTTCTTCTCTAAATTGTTTTTCTTAGTTTTTATCCTGGAAAGCCAAGTACAAGAAGCATAAAGGGATCATTCAGATGTTTTGTTTTTAGTGAGGAAAAACTATGGAAGTTTGGGGAATAAATATTGCATATAAAAACAACTATGAGAAAGTTCATTATTTAATAATATCATTGATTTTTAAATTTTAAATATTAAAATCTTGGAGTTGAAGCATTTAAAACTATTTTTTTTTTCTTTTTAGGCAGGGTCTCGCCATGTAGTTCAGGTTGACCTTGAACTCACTAAGTAGCCCAGGCTGGCTTCAAACTTGAAGTGATCTTCCTGCCTTAGCTTCCCAAGTGCTGGGATTACAGGTATGTGTCACTATGCCCAGCAAAATGAAATTTTCAACATAACTAAAACCTTGGGATGGCACATGATTTAAGTCATGAAGGAGTACAGAAGATTGGAAGGATTTGAACACACACACACACAATCACACACTTTGTAACAGAAATAATAGCAAATTTGATAGTAACAATGACCCATGTATTATTTACGCTTACATGTTCACGTGCCATTTACAATCTGTTTCTTACCATATATTATAAAAACTTCATCTCCTAAATATAAAAACATTTTCTTGAGTGAAAAATTTTAGGACCCACTTGAAACAAAAGTGTCTAATGGCATTGAATCTTCTATTATCTACACAACAGAAAGAACCTGAATCTCCACTGACACCACTGACTACCGTGCAAAGACTGCTGTCCCCACCCTACGCAGCCTCCACTTGAGGGCTTTGGGATACCATGCTTTGCTGCGCCAACAGCAAGGCTATCTCTGCTTTCATCCCCACAAACTTTCCAGATCTTTCTGCAAAGGCCAGCCATTTCCCAGGCAATAGGCTCTTCACTTCATCCTCTGGTGGAGAGAATTGGCTCTTGGTTGCCTGTCTGATCCATAGTCCCTGCCTATCTGAAGCTAGGCATGAATTCCAGGGTCATCATCTTAAACTCGAGGAAAAAAGGATTTAGAGCCAAGCGACTGGGTCTGGCAGTAGTATATAAAGCCAAAAGCCAGAGTGATGGAAGAATTTGTAGGCTCCTCACAAGAATAACAGCAGCCCCTTTAGTTCACTAATAAAAAACCTATTACTTTTGGACTTTGGAAGTTGAAGTACCTGTGAGTGACACATATTTTGAGGAAACATGGCATGAAGGTTTGTATATTTGTAGTACATTACTTGGTGTTATAATGATGTAGTTTACTTTCTGTTGCTATAAAAAAAATTCCTGAGGCCACATTGAAAAGAGATTTATTGAGCCCACAGTCTTTTAGACTGAAAGTCTAAGATTGGGCAGCCACACTGGAAATATCACAACATGGCAGATGACATGATGTGGAGTCTTTTGAGGAGGAGAGGTCTGAGAGGGAATATTTTCACCTTCTGCTTCACTCTGAAGAAAACTGGGACCTCATAAGAAAAATATTAATCCCTTTTGAAAATAGTTTCCCCACTGACCTAACCACATTCCAATTGGCCCTACCTCTGAAAAGTTCCAGGAACTCTTAATACCATCACAGTGGGGAGCAGGCCTTCGGGTCACGACCCTTTGGGAGTAACCACATTCAAACCACAGCAGTTGTTAATAAGAGTGGGTCATGGCCATTTCAGAAGGCTAAAATATGGCTGTGTATCTTTTGACAGTCTAATTTTTTTTGTCTTTGACATTTTACACTCATAGAAATGTATGAACACCACAAAGTTTTTGTTTCCCACTGGGACCATCTGAGAATAGAAGACCTCATGCCACAGTGCCTAATATTTTATTATGTATATTCTACTAATTTGTTTATCCTGTGTAACTCCAATGCAACCATGGTATCAGGACTTAACCCTAGCCTATTAATCTACATATCCCTCTCATCTATTTCCATTGTTCCCATAGCTGCGTTTAGTTCTGGCTCCATTTAGTCTCTTGCTGTCTTGAACAGTTGTGTAGGTTCTCCTCAAATTTCATGATATTGTCTCTTTTGAAGTTTACACAAGAGTTGTTTAACAGAATGTCTCTCATTTGTTTTACAAAAAGACTGTAATTGTGAATGTATTGTTTCCTTATGACTGAATTCAGCTCTTGTGTTTGTGACGGTACACTATTCTGCTAAGCCTGGCATAAAAAGTGCCATAGCGTCGGTAGCCTCCACATCAGAAATATGTTTTCTTATGATCTGGAGCCTGTATTCTGAGATCAAGGAATCAGCCATGTTGTTCTCTTCTGAGAGCTCTTGGCTTAGATATGATTAGCTTTCTGTGTATTCATGTGGTCTTTTTTCTGGTGTCTCTGAGTTCTGATTTCATTTTCTTGTATTTGTGCAAGTCATATTGAATCAGGATTCAACCAACTCGAGCATGAATAACTCTTTAAACATCGTTTCTCCAAATACAGCCACATCCTGAGGTGCCATGAGTTTTGAGAGCCACGTGAAATTGGAGGGAATACAAAACAGCATATAACAGGAAGGAATATTCACAAGGGATGCTTTGCTCTTTTCATTCCATATCATAATTTCAAGTTTCACAACTTCAAGTCTGTCCAGTCCCTTTGTGATGTTCACGTTGTACCTAGAAGAAGGTGATGTTGGCCAGAATTCTTTGCTGCTGTTACTTTTCTCTTTTTTATTTTAGATGAACATGTGAAAAAGTAATCTGATACTTTACAGGTATCCCATTCCCGATTAAAATATAAGTATGAATTCATAAAGTCTTTCAACAGGTGATAACAAATTAATGTGATTATTTTGATACTCAAAAATACCCCCATGCATCTAATTGGTGTTCCTCTTGAGTTGGCTTCTATTTGGTTTTGCTATGATGCCTTCATTCTTTGAGACTATCTTTAATTTCAAGATGGTCCAAGTTGATCTTGCATTTTCTCTAATCTAGATTTAGAAATAGACATTCATCCAAGGAGGAATGTTCCTTTGTTGCATATTTCTGTTTAGGAAATATGAGTGATTCTTTAGGTCTAGAGAGTGATTTCTTCAGACAGGGAAAATTACTTATCTTTTTATCTCTCCATCTACAAAAATACATATTTATGGGTCTCTCTAAAAATGGCATGAGTTTACACTCATGCCTTTAATGCCATTCTACAAACTTACAGTTTATTTTAAAATGTTCATGAAATAATTTTGTAACCATAGAAATGTCTCAAGCAGAGCATGAAATATCTCCCTGCCTCTAACAGAAACATTTGTTATTAAGTCGAAGACTTAATTGCTGTAATTTATTTTGTATTGTTTCCAAATATGCATATTTTATAAAATCTTACTACACCTATGAAATTGTTTATGTGTCTAAATCTGGATTCATTTTGAGTGCTGACAATTTTCCCCACATGTTGTGTGTAATAAAACGTTCCTCAGAAGTAATGTATTTTCTGTAGGCAAATCTGTGTCCTCCTGGTCTGACACAGGACACCTGCAAATGATGGTGAGCACTGAGTTACTGAGATGTGACAGCTCTGCAGCTGTGCTCCACCCTGCCCAGCTCTTATTTATGTGCATGTCCCCAGAGCACATATGTTTAATAGGCTGCTCACACCCTGTGCAGGAGTCAGACCCAGTCAGGACACAGCATGGGCATGAGGGTCCCCACTCAGCTCTTGGGGCTGCTGCTGCTCTGGCTCTCAGGTAAAGATGGACAGCACTGTGTTACACATTCAAGTGTGGTTGGTGCTGGCTCTTCAGGGAAAATTCTTCTAACATGATTAATGTGATGAATGTTTGTTTCTATCTTTCCAATGTCAGGTTCCAGATGTGACATCCAGATGAGTCAGTCTCCATCCTTTCATTCTGTATCTGTAGGAGACACTGTCACCATCAATTGCAAGACCAGTCAGAACATAGCCAGTTATTTAGCATGGTATTAACAGAAACCAGGGAAGGAGTCTAAATGTCTGATCTATTAAGCATCTGTCTTAGCTTCTGGGGTCCCATCCAGGTTCAGTGGCAGTGGATCTAGGAATGATTTAACTCTCTGTGAGCCTGATACCATGGAAACCATAATGTCTATAAATTAGTAAAGTACAAGCTCTTTCTGTGTACATACACCACAATATTGACATCCCCTCATCTGCTCAGCTTGTTTTGTTCCCTCTTTTTATCTTTTCATACCCCTCCCCTCAATGATCACAAAAAACTTGTCACAATACGTATGTATATCCAGGTCAAGAAAGTCCAAGCTCAGAGAAGGGGGATCACACAGGGGGACTGTCATCAGAATTTGCTTAAAGCACTCCTCTGCTGCCACTATTGGGCAGAAGGAAAAATACAACCAAAGGCAGCCTTCACCCGCCCCGGGGGGGGGGGGGACAGCATCAGAGAATAGCTCTGGACTATTTTCCTCTTGAACTAGTGAAGGTCTGTGTGCTGAAAGCTCAAGGAGGCTATAAATGGGTTCTAATCTGAATAGGATCCATCTGATTCCATATTAACAATTTCCCCTCCCAGTGTACAGTACATTTGCTGAGTGATGAGTGAGCGAGGTGACTGAATTAGCCAACATTTAGGCATGATTATGACTTAGACTCTATCTTCCTCATTTAAATTCATGAGCATTTTGAAATATTTTTGAATTTAATTTTGAGTCCATTGCTTAGCAAACAAAATTCAGGCAAAGTTCAAGCAATGCTGATTGTACTGGGCTATCTGTTGTCAGTTCCCCACCATTACCATCTGTGTGAGAAGTTCATTTTTCCGAACAGCACTCACTTCTGTTTTCCTAAAGAATTGCTCAAATATGTATTCTCTCATCAGATTTGGAACTCAGTGAGGAGAATTCAATACCAACTAGCATCTAAGGCAGACTGAGGAAGAGCTATGCCTAATGGAGAATCACCATTAGCACTCCAACTCTGGGTTTCCAGGAGTTTTGAGGGTCATGGGGAAAAAGTGTATACCTTTCAGCGGAGGTGCTCTGAGACAGCACCAGAGAATCCCTGTTTGTAGTATGAACTTCCCTGTCTATCAGAATCCCTAAGTCAATTAATGGCTGTAGTTTAGACTCAGGTTCCCCATGTCTGCCTCCAAAACAATGCCTGCTAGGAATACCAAGACATTTTCTGTTTGACTATAAATTCCAATTGATTCAACAACCCACGTGCTCCAAATATGATAAGTTCTGTTTTTAATGAAATCTGGAAAGGCATTGTCATGTCTGTGATGCTGGGAGTGAGCAGAAAACAAGAGTTAACATATAGAGAATCCTCACTGACTCTGCCAACAGGATGGTTCTGTGACCATCAAAGCTTCATTTTCTTTCACCTTCTGCTTTTCTCAGCAGTAGGTGCAGGCACTAGGAGGAGCAGCTGGGGTAGCCCAGCCTCATATATCTGCTTTCCTGGTGGCTTATGCTATGGCTTGTGTCACTGTGGGAGGAGGATCATCATAATACTGCTGACAGAAATAAGCTGCAATATCTTCAGGTTGCAGGATGCTGATGGTGAGAGTGAAATCTATATCAGATCCCCTGCCACTGAACCTGAATGGGGCCTCCGAGTCCAACACATCTGTACCATAGATCAGCAGTTTAGGAGCTTTTCCAGGTTTCTGTTGATACCAGTTTAAATCAGTACTAATATACTCATTGGCCCTGCAAGTGATGGTGACTGTGTCTCCCACAGCTGCAGAGAAGGAGGCTGGAGACTGGGTCACATGAATGTCACTTCTGGCACCTGAGAATGGAAACACACACAAAAAAATCCACACAGTTAATCATATTACAAGAGGACTTCTCTGAAGTCCAGCATTGGTTACACCCGGCTGTGTGAATTCCCAGCTCTTTCCTTCCTCACCTGGGATCCAGAGCATCAGGAGCCCCAGGAGCTGAGTGAGGACCCTCACGTCCATGCTGTGTGCTGAGTGGGACTGACTCCCGCATACCTGTGAGCAGGCTATAAAGAAGTCTTCAGGGCAGTGGGCTGTGCTGTAGGCACATGCAAATCAGCAAGGGATTGCAGGGCTGAGCACATCATCAGCTGTGGCCAGGGTCCCTACTTGTTCCAGGTCAGACAAAAGCAATATAGATTTGCCTGAAGGGATTTAGTTTTTCACTGGGTTCAGTCAATTAAAAACAGTATTTTGGGAACACTATTAAAGCTGAAATTGGACCTAAATTTAGATGTGTAATCTACTTAGTGATTTTATTGTAATGGTGTAAGAGGATATACTTCTTTGTAAACAGGACACAGTATATTTTAGAAGTTGGGTCTATCAGATCTTTAACCTATTCTCAATGTTTCCAGCGTGCATGTGTATGGGTATGTGTGGGAGATGTATTTCATGTAATAGTTACACAACCTTTGTATGAGTCTGAATTCTTTTCTGTGTTTTAAATAAATAGTATACTTATCAAGGTTACGTTAAGTATATTTGACATAATTTTCTATAGGCACCAGCAGGCTGTTGCCATTTTCAGAGTTAACACCAAATAATGTTCTGGAGATGTGCAATACTAATTGCATATTTCCCCAGAGATTGCATCACCTTCGGATCCAACATTATCCAAAGCTACAGGATTTTTTCATATCCCAAAACTAAATTGGCTGCACAGAATCTTTGGTTTGGTAACCTCTGTATTGTATCCCTTTTCTTGCATTTGCTGATATTTCCCATGGTTAATTAGCTTGTATGGCTAACTGGTGGTCTCTGACTTGATAACATAAAGAAAAACCTGTTTCTTCCTTCTACTCTATAACACAGAATTAGAGTAATCATGAACTTCTGGAAGAGTGCAGGTCTCTGAAGATCAGCTGTCTCCAAGATAAGACGAAAGTCAAGAACAGATCACCTGGGTTTTTCCCTGAGCCATGCTCCCTGCTAGCATCTTCCTGGAAGCTGTCTTGCTGCACCTCTCCAGCCTGCCTTTTTGGAGAGCGAGGAAGATGGTGGCCGTGGGAGAAGCTTGTTGAGCAAATGATCTGTAGTGGATGAGACTTGCTGCTGCTCACTGCGTTGCCCAGTCATGCACCTCAACGCTGCATTCCTCTTTCACTACGTAGCGGTGGGTGAGGACAGCTTCCTAATTCTCACATCCTCCCTGTCTCCAGCTTCAGGAAAGAAACTGGTTATTTCCCATCAGGGCAGCCCTATTTAGAAGGAAAAATATCTCATATCCTGATAAAATGAAGTCAAAGAATTGATCCCTTGTAATATAACCCCTCTAGTGTTGTCCAAAGTATCCCAGACAGCTGCAGAAGCAGGGTATTGGTAGCATCGGTGTTTTCAGTGTCTGCCCTTGTACCCTGGGGATGCTGGGGATCTTGTTAATGAATTATTTCAGGTGTCTGGATCATGAATTCAATACTTGATACATTTCCAGCAGCTTTTCCTGGGGCCTGTACTTGAAGGCAACTTGCTTGCCACTGACCTGTCAGGATCCATTGGAGAGCTTCACATACAGAGCACACATCTGTTATCTCTGTGCAGGTAATAATAGTCTCTGTTGCTACCTTCAGCTTTTCCACTTCACGGCACTTCTGATGATTTTTCCTCAGCCTTATCTGTTTTTCACTGTGCTCTTTGAAGCTGGGTAGACAGATCGTCATGCATAGGTGCAGAACACAGATCCTAGAATAAGTGTCTCCTAGGTCAGCCTCAATTAATATTCATAGGAAGAGATACACATACACCAGCTCCTTGGCCTCAACTGAAATAAACAAGAGGCACATTCCAGGTCCTTCCAGATGAGCTTCAGGTCCAGCCATCCTCTTTGGTAGCTACTATGCTAAGTGGCCCTTTACTGTCCCATCTTTTCTTCTGGTCTCACTTTCCTTCTTTCTTTCCACAGTTACCTTTCTGGCATAAATGCACTGTTTATATGGAAAATGCTAGGGTTGGATAAATGAGCTTAATGAAGGCTTGCGGCACCCCATTGTCATGAATCTACCTTTTGAAAGGTTTTTAATTTTTCTTCTAGGGAAGGGCAGCTTTCTTGGTGTTACGTTTTAAATGTAGAAATTCTCCCTAACAGGACTGGGGATTTAGCTCAGTGGCACAGTGCCTGCCTGGCAAGCTCAAGGTCATGAGTTCGATTCCTGGTACTGGGAAAAAAAAAAAAAAACAACAACAAAACTGAAATTCTCCCTAAAGACTCAGTTGATTGGATCTCAAGGGTGCTGTAATCTTCAGTGGATTGATGAGTTCAGTAGTTGAACATGGGGCTTAGTTGGAAAAGGGCCAGAGGATGCATGACTTCAAAGCACACTCTGATCTACATATCCTTGCTTCTCCCTCTGCTTCCTTGCTGCCAGGCTTGAGCTCATTTCTTTCTGCCATGCCCTTTGCTCTCCTGTTTCCTGCCTTGGAACCTGTCAATCAGGGACAAAGCTGCACCCAAATAAGCTATCGTGCTTCAAGTTTCATTTGTTGGGTATTCTGTCTAAGTGATGACACAGAGACTAAGACAATGGGATGATAATATTTGTAGGTGGATGATGAATGTCTCACCCCCCCCACAAAGGTTTTTCATTTTTTAGTGCTTGGATACTATGAACAGTATTTTATACAGTAAAGGGAACTTGACAGATTGTAGGTTTAATGAGACTACAGTCCCAGAGGCTTAACTTAGAAGTCCAAATTCCCAAACAACAAAGTCTCTAACACCTCTAACAGAAGTTGATGACAATCAAAATTTAATAAACTGTTGATTAATACCCCCCTGACACACACAATTACACAGAAGAAATTGGAAGTACAAAAGCAAAATTGTACCACCAAATCAGGGGAAGCATGGACTCCTGAAATCCAGTGCCGGGAAACCTAGGTACAGTGCTCAGGGTCCTGACTGCTAAGGATCTAGGCAGAGCATCCTCTCTGCAGGTGCAACTCCAATGTCCCCAACCAGTGAGGCCCAACAATAGCAGTTCAGACAAAAGTGAACTCTGTGTGTGACCCTGTGTGTGACCAGGGGCCGGAAGTTTGAAACTTCCAGGGGACTGACCAAGTGTCTGATGGAACAAACTTCTGCATCATCTAAATGGGTGTTTTAGAGTGAGAAGGTCCTTGGGAGTGGGCCATGCTCACAGGGAGTCCTGCTCATGTCAAGATGCTCTGCCAGACATCGGACAATTAATCTTTGGAATAAGGCCACAGCAGTGCTATGAACAGGGCAGGTCTTTCTACATTTGATTTTAATACTTCACAGATGTGCTTGAATTAACCATTTTGAGCTAGGGAAAATATCTTGAATTACCTGTGTGAGATGAAGGTAAACACAGTGGTACTCATAAGAGAGGAAAAGTCACAGAAAGGAAATATGACAATGAAATGTGATACTTGGACGAAAGGGACAATGGAGCAGGGAATGTGGCAGCATCTCGGAGCTGGGCAGTCTAGGATTTAGATTCTCTCTTTGTGAGCATCTTAAATGAGCATAGTCATCCTAACTTCTTGACTTCAGCTCACTGAGAATTCTGTTCTCCAGAACTGTTAAAATAATCAGTCGGGACTGTTTGAAGTGAATGAGATCATGGTGATTTCTTGGAGATATAATAAGTAACTTCTACAAGAAGAAAGTGTTTTTTGCCTCCAGGAGTAGGTGACTGTCCTTTGATGTCTCTACCATTTCCATCCTGTATTTATTTGTTGTCCATTTTGAGAGAGACATGGAGTGATTTATAACAAAGAGAGCTAGCCCCCAGAGTTCTCCTTAGGCAGAAAATCTCTTGATAAAATACTCTGTCACTTGTTAATCCGGGTATGAGAATGTCTTAGTGTCTGATCACACAGGAGCTGGGTAGAGAGGGAGTTTTTTGCTTGCTGTCTTTGTACTCAGAGAGACAAATTAGATGTACATATTAGAATATGAGTAGGAAAGATGGAGTCAGAATGTTGGGAGAAAAAGAATGAGGGAAGGATCAGGCTCACATGAAATGCCCATGTTACCCTCAATTTGAACAGTTATGACATGTGAAAGCTCATAAAGAGTTGATTTTTGTAAAAACAAAACAAAACAAACAAAAAACCAAACTGGAGAAGGGGCTGAGTTTAAGATTATGACCAGCATGGCATGGACAGATGTAGAAGGTAGCCGTGAATTTCATATTTTCATTCTGGAGTGTTCTTCCTCCTAATCTGTAGGTCTTGAATTCATCTCTGAAATACAATGGCTGCATGGAAGGAATATATTCAAGAGCAGACAGACCTGTGTTCAAATCTCACTCCAAGCATTCACTGACCATTTGATTTTATAGTAAGCACAGGAGCTCTGATCCTAGATTCTCTCTTAAGTGCAGCACTAAATGCTTGCAAGCTTTTCCTGAGGGTCTACTCACATAATTCACTATAAAATATATATTTTTAGAGAATACTCTGTTCCCTTATGCCTTTGAGTAGGTCAAATGAAGTGAATTTGTAACATATGATTTAGGAGATATGATTTTAAAATAAAATGAGGAACATTTATTTTACAACTTTCATGTGACTCATAAATATAGTGTTTCATGTGATTTCTTTGTCCATACAAAATTTAGGACAATTCATTTCCATGTAACATTAGGAAACCAAGCAGACAGATTGTGAACATAGCAGACTTAGTCTAGATTTTTCCCTCAGCTCCATTGTGTTACTTTCCAAGGGCTGTCACAGGGTTTTTTTTTTAAGTGGTAGCCAATTCTCTCAGATTCAGGAGGTCAAAGTCTGAAATAAACTTCAGTGAACCACATTTGGTATTTGCTGGTGGAGAGGTTTTGCCCTGGTTTGGCCCTACTCCTGGAGGCTGCAGTCTCCTTGGCTGTTGCCTGCCCTCCAGTCTCTTCTCTGTGACTTCCAGGTCTTTTCTTCCATGTGAGTTAAATCTTCCCCTGTCTGACTCTTATAAAACTTGGAATTGCACTTAGAGCCCAGTTTTT